TGTTGGCGGGGGGGCCATGATGGGGATGCCGGCCCAACAACGGGAATGTACTAAATGCCGTGAAACCGTACACTTTACAGCGGTTAGTTCTCCATTCCCAACGTGTGCACGTGATATGAATGTAATACTGCACGTCCGTTATATCTCAATATAAAGTTAAAAGTAGAAAAATACAATGGGTTTTGTTATGTGAACCTTACTTCAATGAAATAATCAAGCTGAGATGAATTAAAAACCGAACTTAAAAAATGAAAACAGGGGCGCCTGGGTGGCTCAGTGCGTTAAGCCTCTGCCTTCTGCTCAGGTCATGATCTCAGAGTCCTGGGATCGAGCCCTGCATCAGGCTCCCTGCTCAGCAAAGAGCCTGCCTCCCCCCTCTCTCTTCCTGCCTCTCTGCCTGCTTGTGATATCTCTGTCTCTGTCAAATAAATAAATAAAATCTAAAAAAAAAAAAAAAAAAGAAAACAGGGGCATCTGGGTGGTTAAGCATCCCACTCTCGATTTAGGCTCAGGTCATGATCTCAGGGTTGTGAGATGGATCCCCGCCTTGGGCTCCACACTCAGCAGGGAGCTGGCTTCAGATTCCCACTCCCTCTGCCTCTCCCACTGCATTCTCTCTGTGTCTAAAACAAATACAGTAATCTTTAAAAAATCAAAACAAAAACTTTCAGAAGAAAATCAAGACCATATGGACACAGACATCTTATGTAAGACCCAGAAGAGCAATCCTGAAAGAGAAAGAAACTAACCTCACCACACTGAAATTTGTAGTGGCTACCCAAGAAAAGATACCAAAAGAGCACTGTGGAAATGACGCCCACCCACTCATGCTGTTCAGGAAGTCTTACACGTGTACCCATCAACACAAGGATATTCGAGGCACCACGCGGTAGCAAAAAGTGGTCAACATGCTCAGCAGCCAGGGAAGAATCAAATACATCAGGCCACGGTCGCAGGAAAAATGGGCAGGTCCTGTCCTCAGCCCTTCCCGTGGGAAGACAACGGTACTAGGGTTCTCTACAGAGAAGGAACCACCATGATGCCCATACACATACATCTAGTTCAGCAAGTCCAAGGACGGGAGAAAACTGATGTCCCAGGTCAGGCAGTCGGACAGCACAAGGTCCCTCTTCCTCCACCTGTCTGTTCTATGCAGGCCTTCACCTGATTCAGTGAGGCCCACCCACATCGGGAGGGCCATTTGCTTCACACAGCCCCCCAGTCCATTGTTAACCTGATCCAGAAATGCCCTCGGAGACACCCCCAGTGTTGCACCAAATGTCTGGACTCCCCATGGCCCAGGCAAACTGACACATAAAAGCAGCCATCACAACACCTGTGTCCAGGGTGGAAATGTGAGTCACAGAACCCAGAAGGCACAGTCTCCTGTCAGACTGGAAAACAGCAGCACAACACGAGGTGTGTGGATACAGATGTAGGAACGTAGTATCTACATCCATAAAAGCACATCGGCCCAACCAGGGGACCTCCAGGAGGCTGGAAAGGACACGGGCTTTTCACTGTGTTTCTGTGCTGTTAAACTGAATTTAATAGGCACTCATCCCAACTGCAGCAAAAAAAATAACAGCGATACAACTTGGGGAGGAAAGACAAGCCAGTGTGCTTGGCCTCGATGCAAGACCCCATGAGGGGACCTCCCTGGTGAGGCAGCTCCCAGCATGGTCATTGGGTGTAACAAGTAGAGGGCCTGAATGGGCAGGTATGCAGGCAGATACCCGAGGAACTCAGCCGTGTGGCTATGCCAGGAAGGCCAAAGCCAGGAGGAGACAGGGGCACCCAAACTGGTGTTTCATGTTCCAACTCTGAGGAGCAGGGAGCTTGGCTCATAGGGCAAAGGAAAGCAGTGACAACAGAAAAGCTCCCCCCGCTGCCCCTTGCACACTGCAGGAGGCTGGAGCTGGTCAGCATCGGGGGGGGGCCACGGTGAGGGCCACGGTGAGGGCCACGGTGAAGATGAAGGGGAGGACCAGGGGGTGGGCCGAGGGGAGAAACATGGCGAAAGCCACAGAGAGTCGCGGTGATGATGACAGTGAAGGCCATGAGGCAGGGCAAGCCGGGCAAGGGCAGGAGTGGCCTCACCGCAGCGGTGCAGCCGGCCTGTGGTCAGGCATCCCCTTCACCACCTACTCTCCCGCCTGCCTCCAGAGCTGTTTCTTCCTGAGAAATCCCAATTACAGCTCAGGCGTAAGAAGCTGGTCAGAGCGGATGTTTCAGCACCGTGGCTCTCACCATGGGGCCCCCGCAGCCCATGGGCCCCAAAGGCCCTTCAAGAGGCCCAGCAATCAGAGCCCATCTGCACGTTCACACGTGCCTCACGTCTGTCACTTCGTGCTGAGAGCGGCTGTGTCGTGGGACGCTGGGGGTTACAGAGCTTTGCTCCCTGGACCAAATGCCACTCCCTTCCCGGCATCATGTGCATTGTTGGTTTTGGAGAACACAGGTTTCCGGGAAAAATACATGAGCAACAGCCCTGAAGACTCACGGTTCACCAGCCAGCAGCCAGTGGTACGTGTGGAAGAAATATCCCCAGAGTCACCCACGTACGTGGGTGGTTTTTTAATTTTATTTTATGATTTTACTTAATTGTAAGTAAGTGCACACAAGCAGGGAGAGTGGCAAGGAAGAGGGAGAAGCAGGTCCCCTCTAAGGAGGAGCCCAATGTGGGACTCGGTCCCAGGACCCCGAGATCATGCCCTAAACCAAAGTCAGACTCTTAACTGTTGGAGCCACCCAGGCACCTCCACATATGTGTGCTTTCCAATGCACCCACATAGCCACATATGCTGGCTAAACACTGATCTCGCCCCAGAGACACGATCCCGCCCACCAGCTCAGAGCAGAGAAGCAGAAAGGACGAGATCTCTCCCCAGGGACAGGATCCCACCCAACATCTCAGAGCAGAGGAGCAGAAAGCACCTGATCTCTCCCCAGAGACAGGATCCCACCCAGCAGTTCAGAGCACAGGAGCAGAAAGCACCTGATCTCTCCCCAGGGACAGGATCCCACCTAACAGCTCAGAGCACAGAACAGAAAGGACCAGATCTCTCCCCAGAGACAGAATCCACCCAGCAGTTCAGAGCAGAGGAGCAGAAAGCACCTGATCTCTCCCCAAGACAGGATCCCGCCCAGAAGTTCAGAGCCAAGAAGTGTGGAGAGCTCCATGAGGTTCTCATGTCAAGCAGGAGCCTGGATCCAGTAATGACGCAGCAGTTGAGGGGACTGCAGCTCCCAGATATCTCTGGGACCACCGTCATCTGTGCCCCCCACCCAAATGATAAAGAGCAGAACCAGAGGAGGGCTGCGGTGGCCCAGGACCGAGTAACTCCTTTTAAAGGGGAGGGTTTTGGCATTGAACCGTTGGACTCTTCAGCCTCATGACCCCTCCACGTCTGACCACATAGAAGGCAGCTGCCCCCAAGGGCTCTGCGCCTCGATCCCCCAGTAGAACCCACATCCTTCCCTGCCTGAACAGCAGCAGCAGGAGTGCCAAGAGGCGACCTGGACCAGACCAAGGCCTTGTCTCCACCGCACCCAGACTGACTTCACATCTGCTTTGCTACCATCCTGTCCCCTCTGTTATCTTGTGCATCGTGTGGTGTGTCTTCTGCCCGCTCTGCGTGCCATGTCACCCACTGAACGGTGAGTGGGCCTGCTTTGGGACTGTTACGAACTCTCCTTTATGATCAAATACAACTGTCATCGTGGAAAGACTCAGCTCGCGTGAGCACCTTCCCAGCATCCTCACGACACGCAGAAAGCCTCCATCTCTCTGAGAGTGCTCAGTGGGTCAGGGACAGGGTCCTCAAGAAACCGTGCTGGATATCCACATGTGCAGAGTGGACGGGAAGCTTTCTCACACCGTCCGCAAAGATTAACCCAAAAGAGGTCAAAGGAGCAAGTGGAAGGTCCCCAGAAGAAAACACAGGGAACATTTCCCCAGGCAGTGGTCCCGGCCACAACTGGACATGACACCCAAGCACAAAGGACAAATCCTGTCAGGAGGGGGGACCCCACGGAATGACAAACTTCTGACTAGGAGGCGGAACCACTGATAAGGGGAAAGGACAGCCCAGAATGGGAGAAAATATTTGCAAACCACACAGCTGATACAAAGGGGCAGCAGAGTTGAGGGGCCCAGAGCGGCCAGGCCTCCCACAACCTGCCACTCGCCATCTGCTCCAGACCCGGTGCCTCCCAGCCATCCCAGCCTCTGAGGTCTCTTCCTAGGGCTCTGCTGTTGGCTTCCATCTGCCATGCTCCACCCAGAACCATGTCCCATGACCTTCCGCCCAAAACGAAGCCGGAGTTGCACACGGGCTGCTTCTGGGTCACACTTTAATAGCCACGCCAGGGTGTCAAGTGGGACACCCCATGACCGTGAGATTCACATTACACGGGACCATGGAAGTCAGTGGTTTAAGAAGGGAAGAAAGTCAGCTCTTCTTGTGCAGACACAGCCACATCCCAAAACAGCCGCACATAAATTAAGCAGACAGAAGCTCCTTCCCGCACCCTGAGCAGCTCAGGGAAAGAGGGGTATGCTGCTGAGACCACGGTGCACAGGCGGAGCGCCCCACAGCCCACCGGTCCTCTCAACCAACAGCAGATGGAAGGGTGCAGGCAGCCCAGGGGCAAGGCTCTGGACCATCCTTGTCCCGGGCTAATGGCGGAATGCCCCCCAAACCCACAGAGCTGGGGTCTTCTCCACCCTCATCTGGCAGAAGCTGCAACTCAGCTCAGCCTGGAAGCAGGTACAGGCCTGCTCTCCTCAGCCCCAGGCCATGGGATAGCTCGTGCCCACCCCCCACCCCCTGTCCCAGCCACAGAGCAGCCAGAAAGGACAGCCCAAGCTGGGCATCAGACCCTCTGGGAAGCACAGAGGACAAGGAGCACAACCCCGATGCCCACGGCCATGGGGGCCCACTGCTCTGGGGGGCCTCCAGAGGGGGGTGCATTAACGGGACCACCATGGGCATGACCCCTGGCAGCTCCGGAGCCCACAGAAGCCAGGGGACTTCCAGTGCTACTTGGTGGCTGTGGGCCACCAGTCTGGCACGGATGCAGTTAAGGCCACCTGGCCACCCTCAGAGGTCCTGATGTGGAGAGGGCCCTTGATTTTCTCCGACCGCAGCAGTGCCAGGCCCACATCTCCCTGGCCGGCCCTGTACTTGCCGGCTGCCTGCCCCGACTCAGTGAGCACCAAGGCCCCAGGGGTGATGCCACCTGCTGGGAGAGGGCCCGACAGCCGCACCGGGAAGAGCCGCTTGCGGATGACACCCATGTGGTGGGTGCGCGCCGTCAGCTCCTGGCCGATGTAGCAGCCCTTGCTAAAGCTGACACCGTTCATGAAAGCCAGGTTGGACTCCAGGGGCAGGGCCACTCCTGGGGGCAGGTCATGGACGCCCTCTGGTACGCCTGTGGGGTGGGAGGGAAGCAGCTCCCTGAGGACTGGGGGCTGGGGCGGCCCTCCTGAGCCCTGCTGCCCAGAGGGCCCACTCTCTGCACCCTATCGTCTGGCACAGGTGGGGGGCTTGGGAGGAGTGACCAGCTAGCGCTGGAGGAGAGGAGCCCTCACCACGGACCCTCCCACCACACCGCGAGCCCCCGCCGCTCCCCGCGCCCACCATGTCCTAGTCCCGCGCTCATACCATGCAGGTACCGGTGCCGGTGATAGTCCCGGAGGTCTCCCAGCTGGCCGCCGGACACCAGGGCCAGGCCCTTATCCTGGGTGAGAAGCCGCCAGCCCATGCAGCCGGTCCGGGGGTCGCGAGCGAGGATGGTGGTCCTCTCGGCTGGCTCCCGCAGTGGCGCAGCCCCGTAGGCCTCCACTGGGGTGCAGGGCAGCACCGACCACACGCATAGCTCCGGGCGCGGCTCCACGGTGACCTTCCGCCGGATCTTGTACAGCCCCAGGTGCGTCTGCAGGGCGCCCAGCACCGCGCGGTCGCACTCCAGGAGGAAGGCGGGCACCTCCCTATGATCGCACTCTGGGAGTCTGCCGGCAGAGACGGGGGCTCCTGAAGGCGGGCCGGGTGCATGGCCACAGACCTCCGCTGACTGCCCGGGACGGCAGCGCGGTCCCTCCCAACCCAGGGTACTGGCAGAGCTGGTGCGTGCCCAAGGGGCAGACGACGTGATGGGTGACACGCCATGGGTCGGCAGGGGGTGGGGTGGGGAGCAAGTCCCGGGAATGGGGGGCGTGGTACTGTGCGCCCTCACGGTGAGATGGAAAGCCACCAGCAGCCTGACAGCCAGGACCTGCCTTCTCTAGCTCCACAGAGGCCGCAGGTCTCAGGTGCTGGCACTCAGACTTCAAGAGGGTCAGAAGCTCGGGGAGCTGGTAGGAGAGCACACACATCAGGGACAAGGGGGTGTGCGGCAAGGCCACTCTCTCCCCGTGCTCACCCCCTGCCGCCCCTCCCACCCCCGCTTCCCCCAGGTGAACTCTGGAGGGCCCAGGAATACCCTAACCCCCACTCTGGGCAGCCATGCCCCCGGAAGGGACCCTGGAACCCCGTGACCAGTGTGGGAACCAGGTGGGACAGCTGGGGTACTTATGGGCAGATGAGCAGGGGACCTTAGTGCAGATGTCCACGACCCAAGTACCTAGCTGGGATCCTGGTTGTAGAGAATGATGGAACAAGGACATACAGCCCCGTGGAAACTGAGACAGGGAGTGGGTAAGACCATCCACGAGTGTGTGTGAGAGAGGCCATTGACTAGTACAGACCCCACCAGCTGATGTCCTGGCCCCTCCCCCAGACCCCACCAGTACAGACCCCACC